CGTTCCAAAACAGAATAGGACCGACTACCAGATAGATGGACGATCTGTATTAACATGGGTGCTCGACACTGTCGGTCGACCCAAATGGACGACCTGTATTAAGAAGGTTGCTCGACACTATCGGTCGACACAGATGAATGATCTGTATTATCAAGGGTGCTCGACACTGTTGATCAACACAGATGAATGATCAGTATTACAATGGTACTTGACACTGTCGGTCGACACAGATGGATGATCTGTATTCTCAAGGACGCTCGACATTGTTGGTCGACACAGATGAAGGATCTGCATTATCAAGGACGCTCGACATTGTTGGTCGACACAGATGAAGGATCTGCATTATCAAGGACGCTTGACACTGTTGGTCGACACAGATGAAGGATCTGTATTATCAAGGATTTTTCCAGAAAAGAGTAAGAGCGCTTGGTGTAAGACCGAGCACTACCCAATACGATTACTATGTGTAAGATCGACACTGCTCATTATGAGCTCTAAGTAAAAGACCTTCATAGCTCATGCTCGACCAGAATCCTTCCCAAATGAAAGTATTCCAATTCAAAGAAGTTTACTGGAACACCAAACGGTCGAGAACCGTTTAATATCGGAAATACGTTATCATAGGGAAGTTGATATTCAAGTTTCACTTACGTTCACTGCTTCTAAACATGTATATTTCATATTCACACGTATCACCCATATCATACATTTCAACCAACATATATCATATTCATTCAGTACAGCAACGTTCGATCATGCATACTCAACCAATATACACCTCATACTTATGATCATATACCAACAATCAAATAACACCGTTCATACTTCATGCGACACACATAATGTTCATACAGTACAAGACAAACATACGAATTAAATTTAATAAGCTTCCCTTACCTGGATCAAAAGTGAACGTCCTAACTCAGGTGTTTGGTTCGCCCGCTAACAGTTCTCTACTCACACAGGATCACTTAATTCTTCCAACCCGATCTAACCATAAAAACCAAGAAATACTAAGAACTCAAACCTTCATGCAACCAGGATTTGGCTTTGCATGAGACAGAAAACGTTCGACGAAGAAGAGAGACTTACTAGTATCAGAACGTTGAGGTGATCGGTTCAAAACGAAGCTCACGACACCAGGAATGGTTCTACGGTTTCTGAAACGTGAACGGAGAAGAGAAAGAAGAAGTTTCAGTAGAGAGAAGGTAGAGGTTTCTAGAGAGAAGGTGAAGAATATGAAAAGTTAGAATCTGAGGAAGAAGAAGAGTGCATGCAAAGAGTGATGCGGACTTCAGAAAATTCATTTTTGTTTAAAAACCAACGTCCGTTCTCTTGCTGCCACTTGTCTTCCACTACTGATTTAGGAACATTCCATCATGACACCTGGCAGGAAGGCAGTGAGTCTGGAAGTGCGTTTTTAATGCACGGCAGAAAGGTTTTTAGGGCAATTAATGAGGATGAGACAGGGATTAATGACGCTCGTTTTTCTAGGGTCTTACAGAAAGTTTTAAGAGAATCTAAATTCGAGAAACTTTGTAAATCAATTTAGGAATATTGAATTACATAAAAATATAAAATTTTCTTAGCAATTTAAATAATGAATTAGATAATCCTAATATTGGCAATTACTGACCATAAAAAATACACGTTCAAAACAAAATTGCATATCATCATTAACAAAACTATCATTATATGTAATGAAATTGTTAATTTTTGTAGCAGTCATTTAAAAAGTTATATTAGACATATTGTTTAATTGATTAACATCGTAAATAGTTAATATTAACAATGCATCTTCATTAAGTTTATCTATCTAGATTATACATAAACATAAATATTTTTTTTACTTGCCAACCAACTAAACACTAGTCTGTTATATTAAAATAATATAAAAATATATATAGTTGAGGTAAAAGTAAAAAGACAATATAAATTATGTATATATAACTTTTTAAATATTTTATAAGGATAAAATTGTAGCTAAACTCTAAAATTCAAAATGAATAATATATTAATTTTAATAACATTATCTTAATATACAATAGAAAACAAAGTTGAGGTCAGAAAAAATTATCCACATTTTTTATAAGCATATTTCGCTTTTATATACAACTCAACAAATATCAACGTATTAATAGTTTGTATTCTTTTAAATGGACCTATATGTGACAAAGAATATTGAAAAGATTTACTAAACATATAATTATTATATTTTGGTATTCATATTTATTAAAAGTTCTCATTTAGGATACATATACAAGTTTTTCTCCAAAAATATTAGAAATCTGTTTATTTTTTAAATGAGTCGATTAAGCATGCACATGAAAGGTATAAATATAGTTGTTCAACTAAAAATGATTTTCAGTACTTTTAAAGTATAATTAATAATCATCAATTCTGCTATATTAGGTAGAAATACGAAACAGTTAACTTTACTAATTAAAATCAATTATCCTTAAGTTCACTACATTAATAATTTAGAATAATTAACTCAACTGATTAAAATAATATAAATTCATATAACAGATTTCTTTAAAATAAAAATACTTCTTTTATACTTATAAAAGTTTTTAATAGTTTTATTTTTATTTTTAGATGTTTAATATTTTGTTACTTGATAGTTGTTTATTATTATTTTTTTTGTTTTCTCTGTTAATTTAAGTTTTTTTATATTTAATTATATTTTAATTTTTAACAAAATTTAAATAAAAATAATTAAAAAAAACTATATTTAATTATTTTTAAAATCCTTTTATATAAAATAAATTATCACTTTATCATTAGAAAAAGGTCAATTATTTTAATAGTTATTAATGTCATAATTTATTTAATGTCATAGTCAATTTTAAACTTTTATAAAATTTAATAAATTTATTAATTATTCTTCGTTGATCATCAGAATTTTTTTTATAAACAACAAGACATACACCCAACTTTTCCAATATTTTTTAAATCGATATGTAATTCTGTATCTGTAAGTAGATATGTTTGGATTAAAAACTACAATTCACCATTAATATTTTTGTATTATTAATAAAGAAGCTCTAAAAAAATCCCTGAAACTTTTATTAAAATAAGTTTAGTCTTTAACTTTCGCCTAAAAAATGGTTAGAATTTATAAAAAACTAAACAAAAAATTAATAATTTATGTAATATATATTATAATTGTCTTAAAAAATGTTTTGAATTTGGGTAAGAAAAGGCATAGAAGAAATATTGGTAATTGTTTTGAAGAAAAAGAAAAGTGTGAGAGAATATTAAATAAGGCAGAAAGTGTGAAAAGTCAACAGCAGCTCATCTTCAAAATTGCTTCTTTCTTCAATTCTCAGTTCGTCAATGGTGACTGCTCTCTTTGTCAGCCAATCACAAAATTTATAATTTTCAGTGTATTTTTAACTTTTAAAATACTGTCACCAATAGTATATATATATACTGTGTACTATGTCTTGATTTTATATACCCAAATCATAGAGACGGAGAGAGAGAGAGAGTCTAACTAGAAATTTTTTCTTTTCTTTGAAAACCTAGTGAGACTGTGTCAGACTTTGTGAAGTGAACCCCATCAGAGTCCCCGAATCATGAAGAAAGGAAACTTGGGGCTTGGTCTCAAACTCTCTGTTCCTGTTTCTGATCAATCCAATTTTGCCAAGTTCCTGTGAGTCTCTCTCTATCTCTCCCTCTGCTCTGTGCGTGATTGTGAATGTGATTGGTTAATTATGCTTGGGTTTTGACCAAATGGAATTGATGGCATGTGGGGGGTCTTGCAGGACTGAAAGTGGGACTTTTAAGGATGGGGATCTGCTTGTCAACAGGGATGGAGTTCGAATTGTCTCTCAGAGTGATGTCGAAGCTGTAACATATTTCTCTCACCTTTTTCTTCTACTAAAGGAAACATCTTTCTGTGCATTCTTGCCTTTGCAGTTTGTTTCAGCAAATGTCCATCTTGTCTTAAATAATATATATTTTTGTTCATTTTTGCGTTTGCAGATTGTTTATTTGTTTGTTTCGGTAAATGTCCATCCGATTTCTCAGTTGTTTCTTAAAGAATATATGTTTTTGCGCATTATTGCCTTTCCAGAATGTTTATTTGTTTGTTTCAGTATGTATGCACTCTTCTTGCTCAACTGTTTCTTTTCATGAATTTGATCTTTTGGATCTGATGAAATGCCTTGTAATAAGGGGTTCTTGATTTTTCTGTGGATTCATTGTTCTCAGGTTTCGAACCCAGTGGAGTATTGTATTTTTTGAAATGAGTAAAAAAATTGCGAAGTGGATTATTTGCTGTTTTCCCTGGCCTTTATTTTCTTTTATATGTCGGTGGCGGCGGCGGTATTAGCGGTGATGGGGCTATTCTTTGCTACTGTTTTCAAAGTGAACAAAATTTTTGTTATACATTTTTTATCTTATTTGTGTAGTATCTTTAATCAAATGGAGAACAAGTTGCACGCTTATCAAGTGAAACTGTGCTCAGCACAAGTCTTCCAATTCACGAGCCACTAAACGAATCGATTCTTTAAATTCATTTCTCTGTAAAACGAAGTTTGTTGCACAAAATTGTTTGCATTCTGAGTTAATGTTGGGTCCTCTTCTTCTTTCCTACATCAATTCTTTCAGCAATTCCTGATGTATTACATTGTCAATCATGATAGAAAAACATAAATCTGAATAATTATATTGAAATGTAAACAATTTATAAAAAACAAAATGAGTTAATAGTAGATACATTATACATGGTAACATTAAACGTGGGCCCGTGCTTTTATAAGTGACCATGTTTAAATTTGTTCCTATTAAACTTCTAATATCTATATCTGTGCATTCCAACCAGTGGTTTAAGGTATAAAAAGAGCAGCACATGGAGGCTTGAATGTTGAACTTCCTGCTTTTTTTATCCTGTCAAAATACACAATACACGTGCTGGTTGAATTTCTGACAATTTATTGTATACGGTTATAAAATTCGTGATATGTTTTCAGCCACCTCCAATCAAGCCTACAGACGACCAGTTAACTTTGGCAGATGTAGATGTTATCAAAGTTGTTGGAAAGGGAAATGGAGGGGTAGTCCAATTGGTACAACATAAATGGACTAGTCAGTTTTTTGCATTGAAGGTACACTTGCTGCATGTTGCATACGATGCTTTGAATTTGAGTAGTCTGTTCTCTTATTTCTAGTTCATTTATCCTTGTATTGGCACTGCCTACGCATTTAAATACTTTTTGATAATGCCCTTCCCCTCTCCTTTACATCCGTTTCTTTGAGCAAGGATTTTGAAAACTTGTTTTCTGTATGCAATTTCAGTGTCACTGAAAGGCACATTATCTGTAAGTTTCAGAATGTTCTTTCTTTCAATTAGTGCTTAATCATTTAATTTCATTAGTAGTAGTTTGTTTTCATTCAAATAGAAATTTTAGTTTACTTCAATTTGTTGCTGGTGCTTTCTTTGTTATGTGATAACACGATACAAACCAAGAATAGAAATGGGAAAGGAAAGAAATTTTTTCTTTAATAGGTTCCCTCCAAAGGTTTTCCCATTCACAAAGAGCTATTGCTCTATTTACAAATGACAACTTATTCCCGAATCCTGCTATTGTACCTCCTTCCCTATTTGTATTTAGTTACTCCCTCTGATTAACTAACTGATTAATATTCCAAATCCCCTTCTCTAATGCCCTTTCAAAGAACATCATCTTTTTGTTAACCCAACTTTGCACCTCAGAATTGTTTTCAACGTCTAAACTTTCCTTCTCCCCTTCTCTGATTTAAGGAGGTTCTCATCCCTAGGAACTTGTATATATTAATCGATCATAGAACAAAAAACAACTAATCTTGTGTTTAACATCTGGTCTAAGGTCTACATTCATTTCCTTTTATTTTTCTTTTTAGTTTTTGAAAATAGAGCAGCAATGATGGGGTAACATGTCCCATAATGGTCCCCTCCTTCCAGCAATTTTTAATTTCCATCTTGCTTATTTTTCAAACTAGTTTTTGTAGTTGAACTATGACAGGCTTATTAATATGCCTAACTTGCAAGTATATAAAAGAAGAGAAAAGGGGAGCAAGGATGGTCATGCGAAAATTAATATTGGGCTGGAAGGTTACATGGGCCTTGGAGTAAATGAGTGGAAAAGAGGGCATAACTTATTGGAGGTGGCATGCAGGAACTAGGGGAACGAGATGCTGAATCAGTTTGTAACGAAATGGGTGACTCTGGGAGGGAGCTGGTCCTCTGTACAGTGGGCTTTTCTTTAATGTCTCAGTCTTTTCTTTTGTAATCGGATAGTTATACAACATTTTTACTCCCTGTGTTTCTATTTGATTCCAACAAACAAATAACTTTCTTTTTGTTTATATAAACAAGCTTAATATTTATCACTTAATGTATGCATCGTTCACAATTCAGGTAATTCAAATGAATATTGAGGAGTCTATGAGAAAGCAGATTGCACAAGAGTTGAAAATTAATCAACAGGCACAGTGTCCTTATGTTGTTGTCTGCTATCAATCATTTTATGAAAACGGTGTCATATCAATCATCCTAGAGTACATGGATGGGGGTTCCTTAGCTGATCTACTGAGGAAAGTTAAAACAATTCCAGAGCCTTTTCTTGCTGCCATCTGTAAGCAGGTAAGAAGTAAGGAATTTACCTTCAGTCTTGTACCCATAATTCTATTGAATGAATCCCAAACAAGATCTGATCACTTTCTCTTTTAATGATGTAGGTGCTGAAGGGTTTAGTTTATCTTCACCATGAAAAGCATATTATCCACAGAGACTTGAAACCTTCTAATTTGTTAATAAATCATATAGGAGAAGTAAAGATTACTGACTTTGGTGTGAGTGCAATTATGGAAAGTACATCTGGTCAAGCAAATACCTTCATTGGAACTTACAACTATATGTCTGTGAGTAATAGGTGCAACTATATTTATTAATTTACTACCAGAATATGCTAGTGTTTCCTAGAATGTAACATACACTGCCAATTTTACAGCCGGAGAGAATCAATGGAAGCCAGCGAGGCTACAACTATAAAAGTGATATATGGAGTTTGGGACTAATATTGCTAGAGTGTGCTTTGGGGCGGTTTCCATATACACCAGAAGATCAAAGTGAAATTTGGGAAAGCATTTTCGAGCTTATTGAAACCATTGTTGATAAACCTCCTCCTATTCCTCCGTCTGGACAATTTTCTACAGAATTCTGCTCATTTATCTCAGCATGGTAAGTTTAACGTATGATACTACTTGTGTAAAGACAAGAATCTTAATCCTTCATAAGAAAATGAAACACAACCACACACTGAGAAAGCTAACGTAACTGTAGCAGTTTCTTAAAGGTCATCCAGACGTAAGTGTAGATGCTTGAGGGGTTTTCATTTTTGCAGAAATGTAATGCACTTGCCATACCCATCAACCATTCTTTTGATTAAATGTTTTTAGGGTATATTTCTTAATTTCATTGAACAGAAGTTTTTATACATATAAAAGTTAGCATTTCCATCGTTATTTGCTTTTTTTGCCAGAAATTCTATTATACTATGTGCCTTTTATGTGGATGCTTGGGGAGCTTTCATTCTGCTGAAATGTAATGCACTTGTCATACCTTTCAGCCATTGTTTTAATTAAATTTTTTCTAGGGTATCTTCTTAATTTCATTGAACAAACGTGTTTAAACATGTAAAATTTAGCATTTCCATCATTATTCTCTAGGCTTTTTTCCAAAAATTCTATTTTACTATGTGACTTTATTTGTCTGCTGATCTTCCTTTTCAATCTTCACGATGTTTAGTCTACAGAAAGACCCAAAGAATCGACTGTCAGCTCAGGAATTAATGGTATGTGTAAATCTTGCTTATGTACACATACCATGTAGAATATTGTCTTTCTAATGTTATGTATCTGATTGAAACTTCAGGGACATCCTTTTGTCAGCTTGTATGATGACTTGGAGGTGAATCTTTCATCTTACTTCTCCAATGCAGGATCTCCTCTTGCTACCTTATAAAGGTTTGTATGCTCCAATCTTGGACTGTATTATCATTTATAAATTTAAGTAAAGGTTATTCTTTTGTTCTTTATTTACGAATATATCAGGTGTTCTTAAATGATAATGTATTAATTTGTCGTAGGCAGAAGTAGTTTTTGTTCTGTATCGAGGAATTTGTTTTCTTTGACAATGCTTTGAAGGTAATTTTTTAAAATTTGACAAGATCATTTGTTATGAAAGTTTGTCCTGGGTTGCTTATGGTTCTTTAAATTCAGATGTTGTTTCCTAAATTACGATGGTAGGATGTGCTTTCATGCAATTTCAAGTTTCAGACACTAATATTTCCGGATGTTTAGTATTTCTAAACGGTGGAAGTAGTTTGTAACCGAAGATTTTCTTTCTGTTATAGAGCACTGCTTGCAAATATGAGGAGCGATTGCAGATGAGTTGAAGAACCAGCTCCTAGAGTTACGTCAAAGATTATTCTGTACTTAGTTATTGAGTGATTGAGTTCAAGAATTTGTTGAGAAACTCAGATGCAAGGGTCAAGAAGTTGCAGCAAAATGTTTAAAATTTTATGATTGCAACAGAATGTATCACTGGGATTTGTCCGAGTTGCTGATAATATGATCTGATGTACAAACTTGTATGAGATGAAAGCTTTGTCAGGCAGTCCCAAATGAACCATAAATCTGAGTCACGCTAGCTGAACAGTTTCTCAAGCTATATTTGAGACTTTGTATTTGGTTTAGTCTTGTCAAATTGTCTGATTGATGTTCGAGTGTTTATTGCGTGCAAATTACTAACAATGAAATTTACGAGTTGCTCCAAGGTGCGTATGTGATAAACTATTTTCTGATCAATTGATTAACTAACACAAAAGGTTGATTCATAAATTTTTGAAAGAAAAAAAAAACTGTTACGCTTGGAAAGTTCCCACAGAGACTGAGTGATATCTCATCCAAGCTGAATGTACCCTTGTACAGTGCGAATCTTAGCATATATAACTTAGCCCTGGTGAAAAACTGAGGGGCTAAAATGTGCCAATGACTCTAAAATACAATAAATAAATAGCTTAAAATGAAGATGTTCCGGAAGTGAAATACGTCACTTTAAGGCTTCCTCTTAATTCTTCTTTGAGCCTTTAAGTCTATGACAATTACAGAGATGTTATCTTGGCTTCCCCTGTGGATGGCAAGCTTTGTTAGATACTCTGCAGCAGACTGAGCAGCAGGATCAGCTCCTTCGCCATGTCCTGTTGCTCCGTTTTCACCAAACTTTTTGTGCCAAAGAAGGATTCTCTTCCTAGCAACCTCGCAGGCTTCTTCATTTGTCATTACATCCCACAAACCATCACTTGCTAGAATAAGACATTCGTCATTTTTCTCTCTACGCACAATATTCACTTCAGGTTCTGGAATTATCCATGGTTTAAGATATCTATCCCCTGTTGTTGAGTACGAACAAAAATTAGTCTACAAAAAATTTATGCAGCAAAATTGTTGAACACTGAAATGAAGTTGAAGGAAACTTACTAAACCCACTTTCTGTTCCAATTATTAACATTTGAATGTCTTTGGACACGAAAAATTACTACATGGTTCAATTTATCGTGTTTCCAATCAATTTTATCCGACTAATAACTCTCAATGTAATTTGAAAATCCGAGTTACTTGTGATGTAAAAATTTATAGTCATAATGGACACTGATTGCTTCAGATAATTTCTCCCTTTAAAGTTTTTTCACCAAAATCAAGGGAATAATTTTCTGTTTTTAATGCAATTTTATGTGCACTACCTATTATTCCTTTTAGCTTTCTCTTTATGTTATCATAACTAATACTTTCTCTTCATATTGATTAAATTAAGAGTATAATGAATAAAAAAATACTTTAAAACTTTTAAAATAAAAAATAAAAATAAACAACTTTTTATCAAAAAAACTGACAATTAAGAAGAAACAAGAGACTACCAATAAAAAAACACTTGCAGCAAGAACAAGTTGCTTGGAAACTAGCAAAAGTTAAAACTAACACATCAATGACATGAATAAACAGTGTTTGTCCTCGCATTCAACTTGAGATAAACTCATGATAAATAATATCTAGAAGAGATGCATGACTGAAAATATAGTGGCTGAAGCATTTGACCTTTCCTTACATGCAATTGCATGATATAAAGTTGCAAGAAAACCAATCATGTTGTAGAGAAGATACATACCTATGGACCTTGACATTGCCAAGACACCAAGAACTCGATATCCTTTCCAATGTATGACTCTTCCTCCTGCAGCTTCTATCCTTGCCCGCTCGTCCTCTCTATTTGGCTGCAAAACAGGAACTTATGTTACATCTATCCGGCAACTTCTGCTTCTACTATAAATTCACCAAAAATACTATGAAACTATACTGAAATGCCTCACTTTGTGGTCAGAAGACAGTGGCATGGCCTCTTTTCCACGGTACAAGACAGTTCTTGAATCTCCACAATTTGCAACTATTATGAGGGTTTGACTTAAAATAGCGACAACTGCGGTGGAACCAGCAGTCTCAGCAGCAACAGGTTCAATACTAGACTCAGATCCACCACTGTTGTTTCCATTATTACTTGCACCAGTTCCTCCAACCTCATCATCTACTCTCTGAAAACAATTGATGAATGCTTTCTTCCAATGGTCCTGCCAATCATCTCTCCCATTTGTTTCAGCCAAACTTGATTGTGCAGCCTCAATCTCCTCAATCAATGCTGAATGAAGACGTTCCTGGCAGTAGTTAGCAACCTATCAAAACAACACCTCATCAGTCAAACATTAATTTCAACTATACAATTCGTATAATTTGACAGTGCTCTAAAGGCATACCTGAAGGCCCCCATGTCCATCGTAGACGGCGAAAAAGTGGGCTAGTGTCTGTTTTTCGTTCTCATTTACGTGGTCATTCATCAGCATCTGTGAAGGAACTTGAAAAAGTTGAGGCTGAACAGAAATAACATCTTCCATCTCCGGTCTCATTCCACAAATTGATGAATAACCCCACAGAGGACCACTATTCAATTCCAAAGCATTTTTGTTGTTCGTTCTCCATGCTTTATTCTCCCCAGACAACTGGTCAAGAAGCACAGTAGATGATTTAGGATCAGACTCATCTGATCCACTTTGATCCTCACTAGTAATATCCATTGCAACAGAAACTGTGTTCTCCACTGACTTCATCGATGAACACGGTTCGTTTACTCCAGACTTGCCATGAACATCATCATCAACATTCATGATGATTGGTGATTCTATTTCAGAATAACTAGTCTTCAACGGCACCGCTTCCTCCCTACAAGGATCACTTTGGCCATTAGCCACAGACTGAGAGCTTGAACTATGAAGACAGTGAAAATCCACAGCTAACATTACTTCATCTTCCTTTATAGGCTTATGATGGGTTTCATTCAAAACCCAATTACTCTCACATTCAATAACCATTTCTGAGACAAGGGCATCCCCAACTTGATTCTCTTTTACCTCCGCAGATACCGTGATCTGGTGCTGCAGACTTACATCTGCATGGCTTTCACTTCCAACAGAATATGACTGACAACACTCCACTGCAGGATTTAACATCAAAGCAGCCGCTGCTGTATTTGCCATAAGCTTCAGCCCAGTTATCTCCATGTGAGTTGTCACTGCAGACTCTTTTTGAATCAAATTTCCAACACCAAGTGTAAAAGGTACTGCAACACTTGAAGATATTTCCTCCATTTACTTTGCCTTGTAGCAATAGCCTTCTTATCCTTCAGTATCCGACAAGTTGCTATCCCTTTAACCACTTTTTCCACCCTTTTCCCTCAAGCCTCCTTTCTATTATATAATTCCAATCGGCATCAAAACACCAATAAGGCTCCTACCTCAAGAAATTTACGAGGTTCAGAACCAACCTCTTAAGAAATCAGTCAAATAACACAGCGTAACAAAATTCAATCCTGAGGTTTTATTATTCTCTTACGGCATCAAAAACTAAAAAAAAAAATAAAAAAAATCCACAAGATCCTTTCTGAATTCACCTGTTTTAGATTTTATAGGCCAGGATGACACAATTGATGACCCAAAAACTTCTACTCCTTCCTCTGTATATGAACCCTGGAAAACCAGACAACAGATTGTTTAAGAAAACAGCAGCAAATAATTGACAACGTCAAATGCCTTGTCTCTCTCCAGCAAAGGGAGACAAGAGAAATGGGGTCACTGAAAGCGAAAAAATAGCAAAGAAATAATAAAAGTTTCCTAGATCTGAGGCAAGTCACCCCGGCCACTGAAATTTCCTTTCCCTGGTTTCACCTCTTCTGTTCCTTTCATGTGTTAACTACAATAAGCCTTCACCACCCACCCCTCAAAATGAATAATCATATCAAACCAAAGCCAAAAACTTTCCGTCATGTCAACTCATACCCACTCCGTGCCTTCACCATCTATGCTCAAACTACGCCTAGATTCCATTTCAGTTTAATCAATCTCTACAGATAACAAAAAGGACATAACATTAATTCAGTAACCTGAGTCCTGAGTTAATTTACCTTCAAAAACAGTGACGAAAAGTGAGAGAAGGGACGAAGGCACAGAAACCTTAACAAACTATATGCAGTGGTAACACAGTAATTGATTCATGAGTTTTCATTTCTGACAAATAAAAGAGAGAGAGAAAGAGAGAGAGAAAGGAGTTTCAGCTTTTGAAAAATAAATTATTACGTAACAGATGACTATGTTTTTTTTATTTATAATTTTCTTTAGAAACAAAAAGTAAATGTATTATTAGCAGGCTTTCCGTTTCTTCCCCTGGAGGATCGACACCTAGCCCTTTCTTTTTCGTAAAAAATAATATTAAATTAGGGTTGAGTTTTGGTACATCGTTTCCCAAGGAAAGAACTTTTATTTTTGTCAAATCGACCAATAGGAGGTTAAGACGTGGAAGTCATTCTAATCTCAGTCTCTCTCATCCATTATGGACTTTACTATCTTTTCTGAATGTGCTGTCTTTTTATACTATCTTATGTTAATGTTAAGGTTAATCATAAAAGATGAAACGTTGAACCAACCAAAACATTATTTTTCCTATTTTAATTCGCACGGAAAGAAGAAGGCCAGTACGAGGAAGCCACGTGGGCGTCACAATCGAGAACCCTACTTCAAAGGGAGATGTACATGTACGAAACCACTTCTAACATAATAACACCAAAATAAACCAATTTCTCTTATTATTTTTATTTTTTGGCTGTTTCTATTTTCTTTAGATACCTGCTCAAGTGAAAATGTTAGGGACAAAATCTGTTTAAATCTCTCACTATTCTTTTTTGTCATATAATTACTTTTGAATAAATTAATACTATTTCCAGTTTTATAAAGTTCTTTTAGCTTTTTAAGAGAATCAAAAACTGAAAAGAGTAAAAATATTTTTTTCACATTAGCTGATTCTTTTAAAGATGGTATATATAATAAAATATACGTTAGATTTTTGTTTCTAAGAGGGGTTTTGTTTACTTTTTGAAATCTGAATACTGTTTGATTGCTAACTAAAAGAATGTTAGTAGTATTTAATGTATTTGAAGTTATTTTTTATTCGCTAGTTAATGTTTTTTTAGTTAGTAATTATGATACATGGTTACCTTCCCAATCAAATCTACATTAATATTCTTTTTAGTTTTCGTTCACATGTTACTTCTTTAAAGTTCAACACGTTATAAAATTACATAACTGAAATTATTATTTTTGTTTTTAAAAAATATAGCTGTTAGCGCTTTAGTGA